TTCGAATCTCGAATCTCGAATGAGCCTTCTGGGCTTTCGTATCCAAGTACCTTTAATCACAATATGTGTTTTTTTTTTGCACTATATAATCTATAGGAATATTAATATACGCAAGAATGATATTTTTCAGTGTATTTAATTGATATAATACCTAAATAAAGAAAGATAGGGCCGATCTATCTAGGGGTGAATGGGGGTTCGATACCCGAACCTAAATACATTTTCAGTACTACAATTTGATCATTAAAGCCCATAACTCCTGAACACTTGAATTTCACATACATTGTATTTGGAAGAGGCACCCTTGCTCATAACTATACATTTACGAGTAGATTATTTGCTTAATACCCAGGGGCAATTCACTAAAGAGCATATGATTTGTGGAAGGATAGGCGGATCCTGAATTTCTATAATTTAGTTAGTTTTACCAAATACATGTATTTTGCGTAAAATTGGGTCGGATAAAGTACTATATATTAAGTTAAATGCTTCTTTAAATGAACTCTAAGATTTAAAGGTGACCTCAAGGTTTTGAATCACTGCTTTTGAAACCTTTAAAAATAACTCTGCATCAACATTTTGCTCACGATTTACTATGTAATGTTTATTTTTAGGTTTAAAAGGTGAAAATCTATACTGTTCATGTACTAGAAAACCAAAATTTGAAAGAATTTAAAATCTTAAACAAAATTAATGTGCTTTCTTTTTTGTCACCAATGTATATACGCATTTTAATAAATAAGATATACAGTGTAATGCTTTTGAATTAGTTTTTAGTTTTCGAGCACTTGCATTTCAATTTCATACAAATTGCCCAAATTTTATTTAAGTACTGCATGTCCCCGGCCATTTAAAAATGTCCCCTATATTTCATACCTTATAATGAAGAGAACATCTGTGATTGTTTTGTGTATGTCAACTTTTGATGAAAGAAATATTTCGATGAAAGATATTAAACACTAATCGCTATCTGTAAAATTAGTTTTAGTTCCTAAATACAATGTAACATGAATCAAATTTTATGCTAAACTTGCACTGTGATCAAAAGAAAAAAGGAAGGGGCTATTTGGCTCTATAAAAATACTTCATTCTGAAATCTTTTTAATAAAGTAAATTAAACTAAATAAACATGTATATTGTTTATGTAGAGAACGATCAGTATTAAAGCTCAAAAGTTGAATCAAGAGGAGAGCAAACATGGACCTCCAAGACATCAGAGGTGGGTCAGTTGCAATAGAGGACTGAGTATTCTCTTCCAACCGGTCACACCCGCCGTGTGTTACTTGTCATGATCAGCATTTGACCTCGTGATAGATTGTACGGTATTTGCTGATGAGGTATACGTAATTGTATCGACCATAGAAACTTGCGAAATGTTGACCTTTAATGAAACTGTTAACATTCTTGTTTGATCAACTTGTTTGTCAAAACAAGTTTCCGAATTATTGTTCGTAAGCAGAGCTTGTTTATCGAATCGAATGAAAGCTATAAACTCCATATGCAGATGATAAGGGTAATTACTACAATAGTAAGGAAAGTTAACGACTGAAAAGTTTTACAGCAACGTTCAAATGAGTGTTTCGAATTTCTATATAGTTGGTTTCTCGAAGATGCACAGATGTTCAGGTCACAAAAATGAAAATTTGAAATTCGTAGGATTATGTTTTTATGCGCCCGAATCAATAGATTCGGGGCGTATATTGTTCTTGTCCTGTCTGTCGGTTTGTCTGTTTGTCTGTCTGTTGTCAACTTTAACCTTCCCCAAAACTTTGAATCGTGAGAGATATAAACTTCATATTTAATATACATACTCCACTAATTAAGCACTTTCAACTGACACCAAGGTCAATGACCTTGTGACCCTGGCTGTGGCCTATATGCTAAAAATAGCTTTTTGAGCTTTTGTCATTACTTTTGAACCATAGGAGATAGAGTCTTCATATTTGGTATGCCTACTCCACTAATTAAGTTCTTTCAAATGCCAACAAGGTCAATGACCTTGTGACCTTGACTGTTACCTATATGTTAAAAATATATAGTTTTTTCGAACTTTCGCTATAACGTTTGAACCATAGGAGATAGAGACTTCGTATTTGGCATGCATACTCCACTAATTTAGTGCTTTCAAATGACACCAAGGACAATGATCGTGTGACCTTGATTGTAACCTATATGCTAAAGTCTTTGTTGCCGCCGGGCACATAGTGTTTCACAAGCACATCTTGTTCTTCTTTTTAATTTTTAGAAGTCAGAAAATGCAGTTATACAGTTTATTTTTCCATAAACAATGTATTTTTAACAAAGAATCATATAATTATGAAATATAGGCACACAAAAGATAAAGGGGTGTCATGAAAATAAAATTCAAAGTAGTTTTTGTGACAAGAAGATACATGTTTAATTTTTATATTATATTAGAACTTATTTGGAAACTTTATTTAAATACCATTCTCTTCTTCGATTTGAATTTATGCGATTACACATAGGCCTATGTACATGTACAAGTATTTGTCCAACAAGGGGCAATTTTCTCTTCATACCGTTATGCATGCAGTTCGTAAAACGAGCTTTCTTGGAGTTAATGCCACAGGCACGTGTATTGTATGCGAGGCACTACCTACTTAAAGATAAATAGGGGTGCCCCGTATACGAAACAAATGCCTGTGATTAATGTTACAGTATAGCATATAATTTTATCTTATGTGTGCAACTAAGAAAATACAATGTACCGGCGGAGAAATAGCTACCCATAATTTACCTTTCAAAAAAAAGTAGGTAGGATTTACAAGGAAAATGCAGATCATGAGGCCGGAAAGGTCACAAATGACAAAAAACTTAAAGGAAACATTCGTCAATTTATCCAGCTTGTCCAGATTAAACCGATTGTCCAGAATAAGAATCGACCCCAACAAAGGCTCACACAGCAAATTTTTCACCATTGTAAAACTGAGTCAGTAGCAGGTAAGGCCCCTTTGGTCGGCCAAAATCCTAACAAGACGTCCCAGGTCATTTTGGGGGATGTTTTTTTTATTCCTGTTGCAATGCTGCAGCAAGCTCTTGCATGAACATTAAAATTGGCGAAGTCGCTGTCTAATCATGTCCCGGACATGGTTGATGAGAGAAAGGTCCGGACTGAGTGCGGGCCATGGTGATATTCTGCTGTTGGAAATAATTTGCAACGATCCAAGCCCTATATGACATCTGCCATCTTGAAAAATGTGACGGTGTTCATAACTACATGTACGTGCAAAAGACACAACCTGGGCTGCCAAGATATTGTTCCGTTACTACTGCTCTGTGACATGTTCTGCAACAACATGCTAGTTTGCTCTGTCGGCAAAAGTAATGCCTCCCCACACCATTACAGATCCATACCATACTGATCATGTCTAATGGCTTTCGTTGCGTTGGCGCCAACCCCTTCTCCGTCTGTCCAGAAAGTCCTGAAGATTTTCTGATGAATTATTTCCATTTCTTTCTGTTTTCTATGTGATAAATCTTTTAAAGTCAGTTGAGTTGATTTCACAAGATTTTACCAAAATCAACAGTTTAAAAACTTATGACTTTTAAACTTTATATTACAAGCGTTCCCCAGGATAAATTAAAGTCCAGGCTTTTTTATACCACTGACAGCTGCTTTTTCAATAAAAATGTCGTAAATTTACTAACCTCGTCATTGGTCATTTGCAAAATCATTTTGTCAAAAAACATATTCTGATTGTACACACCAGTACTCTGAAGTTGACATAAAAAGATCCTTGAGTTTCTGAGTGACAATATCTATGTTGTTTTCGGAGACCAGATCTTCCAACAATCTATTGGAATTCCCATGAGTACCCGTTATTAGCAGTCCCATTTTTTTGTATTCATATGAAGCAGAATTTGTCCAAAATCATATACATGAAAGAAGAAAACACTTGTTGTGGCCTTCAACTTGACATTTAGATATATCGACATATATATGTCAATCACCAATATATAGTAATTTCCATTCTTATGTCGATACGATATCCTGGTGAGTTTGAGATAAAAGATACCATAGAGTCTGACACATCTGTTTCATATTTGGATATTTAACTTAAAAAAGACGTTAATGGTAATCCAACAACCAAGCTCTATGATAAATGTGATGACTATCTTTTCAATCGTCAACTTCCCTTACTTATGTAGCAATATACCTTCATCACCTGCATACGGCGTTTATATATCCCAGTTGAGTCGATACGCAAGAGCATGCTCTACGTATGTACAATTTCAAATACGAGATAAATTATTGACAAACAATTTGATGAAACAAGAATATCAGCAGTCTCGTTTAAACTTTAAAGTCATCATTTCGTAAGTTCTATGGTCGATACATCTTGTACAATGACCTTATTATTGAGTCAAATGCTGACTAATTGTTAGACTAAGTCCATTATTTAAACACTGAATTGACGACGGATTTTTCCGTTATTTCCCGATCATGACAAAGATCTCACAGCGGTGTGACCGGTCGGCAGGGGGTGCTCACTCCTCCATGGCACCTGATCCCACCTCTGATGTTTTGTCCGTGTTTGCTCTGCTCCTATTTAATTTATATTGTTTTATGGATTTTTGATCTCTAATACTGTTCGATATATTCATATGTTTTGTTGGTAACTTCGTCTTTTGTAAACCTTGTCCCAATTAATTTGTGTGAAATAAATTTAATTGTTTATTCGTTCGCGTTATTAGATTCAGCAGGAAAAAAATATAGTGTCATTTGTGGAACAATTCCGAGTGCGATCTATTTAACCATCATGATGTCTTAATGAAGTTTTTAAATAGTCGCGGTTAGCATTAACCGCACAGCCAATATTTACAGTGTAATCTCAATGAGCCATGTCTTTCTAAACAAATATCCAGCAATCGTGAATTTCAAAATTCAAAAATATACTAACCAGTCTTGAAGAACCATGAAAAAAGGCATTTAAAAGGCGTTGGCTCGTTCAAATATAAATACATACCGGTACTTTAATTTCCCTTTAAATTTGGTCAAGACCTTATAAATAGTGAGCTGCTTTAGTTCCCCTACATCACTCCCTCGGTGGAACGCTTAGAGGAGGGTTCACTGCATGAACAGCGCTACTGTGGACATCAGTGTATAGCGTGATTCGGGGAGGGACTGAATGTTCAAAATGTCGGTGTCCCCCCTCGCCGGGGCTCTGTGCTGTGTTCTCCTTGTGTCTTGGGCCTCAGCAGCAGAAAAAGATGAGGATGCAAGGTCACCCGAAAATGAGGACAAATTCACGGATTATTTTGAATATTACATTAAAGAAGCCAACCATTCAGGTAATATTGATTAGATGAAACAAACACCACATTCATGTTCTCAAAGACGAGTCTATAATGTTAAGGGTATTCTGAAAAGGGTTAATATAGGACTTGCATAATTTTTGTGGCCATTTTGCAATATTAACTTTATACATGATTTTTTTTGTTGTGTAGTAGTGCTATCAAGTTAATGCTGACATGTTTTTACTATACGAGTTTTTATTTTGTTATCCATTCACTGATAGAAATACCTAGTTGGTTTAACTAATGTGCCTAGTATCAGATACATTACCTAGAAAAACTACTTCTGAGGTAGTGATTGTATGGACAGTAAATTTACTAGTCTTCTTAGTGACTTTCAGTAGTTATTTTTTTCAGTGTTGTTGATGGCACATTTTAATGTGCATTGTTAATTGAAGTATTTTAATATCAAAAGGACTCTCTCTCTCTCTCTCTCTCTCTCTCTCTCTCTCTCTCTCTCTCTCTCTCTGTGTGTGTGTGTGTGTGTGAGAGTGTGTGTGTGTGTGTGTTCATAGGACTCAATATTTCTTTCAATAAAATATTTTTACATTATGCTATTAAAAAAGATTTACTTTATTTTTTATTCTAAAAATTTAAATTATAAGTATATATATTTTTTTATTTATAAATTTTCTTCATGTAAAACAGAGGATACAAACGGATTACATGTTTGCAGGAAATGAAGGGGGTGTGGAATACATGGTGTGGTTTCCGTAAAATGTAGCTGCTTTGAGTTTAAATTAAAATGTACTTCATTAATAAGAACAAGTGATTGCTTGTATTTTATGCTTTCTCTCCTTCCATAAAATCGTGAAAACTTTTACATGTTACATTATATATTGTACATTGCAACACCAATGCAACAGAAACATACAATGAAGAAATCTAGATTATCCTCATTCCATGCAATTACGAAAAACATGAAAACCTGTTAAATTCTTTTGTACGGGACTTTATAATTGATGCAACTATGATTTTCTTATATAAAGGGAAAATATACAGTGTATTATTGTTTTCCTCAATCTCTGCAACAAATTCGTGGTTTATTTTCTTTCTTTCTTTCCTTCTTCTTTCTTTATTTACATTTTAACCCGAACGGTGGACTCTATTGAAAATTTTATTGACATAAAAGAATTAAGTCCTTGGGGCTAAAGGTAAATGCTAAATTGATTATAAAGGATAACGGATGACTGAATCCACTAGAATCCTGGGAAAGTTGTTTGATACATTCTAATGCATTTTTTATGGTCGACTGAGTGTCAATTTGTTTGAAATCAAATTTAGAATGAAATTTGCACGTGGTAGAAAATTTATCCCCAGCCCTCACTTAGCGCACTGGACACTGGTATAGTCTGTTTATATAACACAGACATTACGATTAATGTTCAAGTTCTGTTCGGTTTTGAAAATTAATCTGCATCTTTCAGATTTGAAATATTTGATCTAATTACATAGCATAATAAATATACATTGCAAAATCGGCGTAAATCTCCGGGATTAATATTCTTTGGGGGGTATTAATTATTATTTATATGATTGAATAATTTCCATCTCTCTGATTGGCTGAGATCCAACTATGTTAGAAAAATACTACGTTGTATTGACCTGCACGTGACGTTCCAGGTCAATACAAGGATTTATTTTCTCTACATTGATCTAAAAATAGATTGAGAAATTCCAAATTGATACAAATTATTTTGTAAAGCTATTTAAACGACTATGATTTTTTTTTCATGTGAACAAAACATAAGCGAATATATATTTTAGGGTGAGGGTGGTAAGAGGGGATGCAGGGACCCCCTCCAACACTTTTACTGAACAACAATTTTTTTTTACTTTTTGGCAGTCAGTTTTCCCTGATAATACTCCTTCCTTTCAAAATCTATCCTATAAAAAAGACTATAGAGCTGACATAATTTTTTTCATTGATAAAAAAAACTTTTCAAATTGATACGACTGGTAAGGTTTATTCACATTTTAATTCTGCTTCTCTCTTGTATTTGGCTAGGACTTAATAAAATGCAAACAAGTAATGAGCTGTATCATTTTATCATTGAATCATATAATAAAACAATTATTGCTGTTTTTTTCGGTCAGTACAATGATTTAGCCATCTTTGAAGTACAATATTCACCTCGCCCTTCGGGCTCGGTGAATATTGTACTCCTTAGATGGCTAAATCATTGTATTGACCTCAAAAAACAGCAATAATTGTATAATGTTTCTGTATATTCAAATTTGGTCAAATCATTCAAGGAAAACGGGAGGGATGGAGAATTTCGACACTTTTATATAAAAATCATTCAACTCCATAATCTATTCCTGCAAATTATTAAAGGGTTTCCAGGGTCCATAAACATGTATCTAAATTTACATGAAATAACGCTAAAAACCTTGAATACGCACACCTCTCCCCTCCCAAATGTCCATTTTTCTGCAGGATCCACCTATAATTTATATTATGCTCGTGATTGTTTTCTTGATTGGCGCTGAAAACAGGTTATTTTTGTTTTAATAAGTGCAAATAAAATGAATAAAGATTAAGATGAAGGTTGTGGGTGTTCCCATTCAATTCTTTAGGATGATGGGTGAAATTTCAAAGAGATTTGAAATCTAGGTTTAAAAAATGATTCACTCATTTTATCAATGACATTTCAAAATAAAGTCGATTTTTCAAGGTTGAAAAATTGTAACGATAAGAAAAGCAATATTGTGGGCGGTATAGTTATGATCGAGCTTGATTCACATCTGAGAGTAAAGAATTTCGAAATACCACATTGGACGAGATATGCACCAAGATTTTGGACATAAGATGCCTTGAGTAACACGTCCATTTTTTACTCTTGTTGGTACACTGCACTGTTATTCGTTAAACATCGAAAAGCCCTATGTAGTTTTTTTTTTTTATTTTTTTTTTTTTTTATTATTATTATTTTTTTTTGAATGTGCATATATATACAGAGAGAGAGAGAGAGAGAGAGAGAGAGAGAGAGAGAGAGAGAGAGAGAGAGAGAGAGAGAGAGATTGTAAGCTGGAAAGAGGAAAGAGCTAGAACATACAGGTGTATATCAGGATTTCTATTTACAATATTTAATCGTAAGTTTTAGAAATAATAGAGTTTCATTGTGGTTCAGAAACGTTCCTTCTATAATGCACAGACGTCTTATATAGAACCTTTTAAAACATAAACCAAATTTAAATTTGACAAGGTCTTGAATTAATCTTCAAAGTACACATTCGACTTCAACGACACCACGTCCAAAATATATTGACTTTCCTGGAGGGTGAGAATTCGGTCCACCATTACCCTCTTGGGAGTAAATATATTCATTAGGACACTGTTTGTTTAGATATTTATTTGAAGTGAAACTTGTGAAAGAAGAATGAAGTCCAAATATGTATATAGTAGGTCAAAAAGGAAAACTGGTTGTATAAGTCATGATCTGCATTGGCGAAAACGTGATCTAACTTTTCAACTTCACTTTTTTAATGTAATTTATAAAATATTAGTTATAATAACATAGCAAATTGTAATTATGCATATGTATAATTTCACCCCCCCCCCCTTCGTTCTTTTTTTAAATAATTTTTTTCCAAACGTAAGAATTTTTATGCGTGCTTCTCCCGGGTTATCCCCTTCATTGTGTCCTTTCTGACATAATTTATTTTATCAAATAAACTATGCAATAGTCATAAAATAGTCATATTGCAGAGTTTATTTAATAAAATAAATTATGTCAGAAAGGACAATTGGAATAACGTGAACAATTCCCTCCTCTCAAAAGAGAGAGAGAGTGAGAAAAAAAAAGAAAGAAACGCGTGTGTCATATTCACACTCCACCACCCATGCTTTCTCTTGATCTCTCCTTTCTTGACATCAACTACTGTAGCATTTTACTATTCTTTATACGAAAGATTGTAAAGTATAACTCTCTCGGGGTATATTATTTATGTAAAGAGAATTAATTTCTTTAATTCATTTTATTGATGCACTGAAAATTTGTTAGTATGAACAATTCCATGTTGCTTCTAATAAAAGTATTACGCACAGGTTACATAATATATATTTTCTTGGATTTTTTTAGGGGAAGGGTGCAATATGGAACTTGCCAAGATGTGTCTTTTAGGATTGTCTAATGGTACCCTAACAGCCATGATTTCTAGTGACTCGGAGGAGAAAAAAAGATCCTGCGAGTAAGCTTCATTTTAACAAAATCCTCTCTATCTACCCCCTCCCCCTCTCTCTCTAAACAAAAATGCAATACATGTATAAATATATATATGTATACGATTTTCAATATATATGTATTATTTTTGTTGTTTTAAAACAATATGAAAATAAATTTCGATGACTTTCGACTTTCCGTAAAATTAAAATGATAATAATTTTCATGCAATAAAATTTTTCAAAAAATTTTACTGACGAAAACAAAGATTATAAATTTCAAAATAAATGCAAACTTTAACTGGAGTCTCATCCAAATAAACAAGACATCAGTAAATTAATCCTGTACATTTTCTGTTCAGAATGGCCTGGAGAACCAAAATGTGCATTGAAGGAGTCATGACCTCCTGTCCTGAGCGTCAAGGGATGGAGAAAATCTTGGATCCGTACGTCCCTCTTCTGACCTCCATTGCAGAAACAGTTTGCAATGATGAAATGGATAAAGATGGTAAATCTTTTATTTATGCAGTGTACTTTCTAAGGGGTTGCCATCTTGAGTTATCATTTAGCATTTTTCTGCTTGTTTTTTGAGTAAAATTGCAAATTTATCTAAAAGTTTAAAAGATCCACTGGACTCAATGTTATTTCGAAACAATTTAGTTCGAAGTAATTAATAATGATTAGAACAAGTCACGTGATTAGTTTGAAGGATGCCCGCGTGAGTTTTTGTCATGAGCAGCAGATGAGGCTGATCAGGTAGCAATCATTTCTCAATAGTGCTTTAGAAGACAAGATAATGTGTCCATATAAATAAGAATGTGCTGAGGTTTTCTTTAAATGAATATTGTTTTATAGAAGCAAGTTGTAAAAATGGTTTCGAAAACAGAACGGGCTAAATCTCTGCCTGGTGCAAAGAAGAAATTTAACACCACTTAAATGGCTCTATCATAGACTACATCGGGTCACATGTACTATCTTTTCTGATAAGATTGATGTTAATCGTTAAAAAGTAATAAAGATCATTTTTTGGATTTGAAATTAAAATTCGTGAAAGTTGAAGTAGGGTCGAATGTCCCAGCAATGATTTCAAAGGGACTTATTCTCAGAGTTTGACTTTTTAAATTTTTTTTTACACGAGAATCAACTGTAGACAGATTTTTACACTAGTTTACAAAGGAAAATCTCTATCCTGTTCAAGTGGTTGTTGATTTTTGGTCAGGGTTGTGACCACATAGAATAATCTATAACTTACTATCTCCTCAGAACAGGCCTTAATCGGTTCACCACAGTTACATGTAGAATGATGTCCCATATGAGCTTAGTTGTAAGTTATCAAATTGGAGCAGATCTGCTCAGAAATGGTTTTGAAAAATACTGAATGAGTTCCACTGAAAATAAACTTTGTGTTTTCCCATTGTTTTATGTATTCACTTATTTTAATATTTCCGATTGTGTTCTATAAGGCTAAGTGAAAATTTTTATGTACAGATGTACATGTATTATAAAATCATCAACTGAAACAAATTAAGTTGTTAGGGCAGAGATACTTTGAAGTTTTGTCAGCTGTTCTACCTTCCCAGGTATTTCACATTTTAACTGAGGTTAATATCGAGTCTTGTTTCTGACAGAGTGCATCCCGTAAATTGTCATGATTTTTTCCCTGTGTCATAAGCCAGATTGTATTACTGTGATTACAGACCTGTATTGTAGAATACAGAGTTAATGTGTGATTTGACCCTCTACACAGCCAAGTGGCCTAATTGTATCGACACACAATAAGTAGTGACAACCCTCAGTCACGATTTATTGAAATTTTCTTTGTAACACTTTTCACAAGTTTTGTATGAAGTTGTTTAATTTGGAAGTGCAAAATGTCAGTATCCTCGGCACAGGAGTTCAGGTACCTAGCAATTTTAAGATAAAAAAATAAGTAAATATTAAAAATTAAATACGCACAGTGAATTAGGTATGACATACCCGGTATTTCTAATTTTTATTTCCTAAAAATTTTGGTAAAATTGGTGAGTAAAAAATTCCCCTGACAATGATAAAATGTTCAAAATAATATTTTTTTTCCTTCATAAAAAGAAGAAATTTAAAGTAAAAGTTTTCAGAAGAAGTGAAATATGGCTTTTCTTTGCAATTTTATGCACTCTAAATAGTTATGAAAATGATGAAATTCAGTTCCCCCCCCCCAAATTCTGCTTGCCCTGCAAGATTGGGGTCTGGAGTGACCCCCAGCTGATTTTCCCAGTATATCTCAAGAAAGGGTAGTTTCCCTCCAAACCTAGATTAATCACTGTAAGAGGATAAAATAGAAGAACAATTGTAAATAATATATTTTCTACATGATATATATTCAGAATTGATCAATTAAGCCATTATAGTATAAAGATCATACAGACAGCAAGGGACTTCTTTGTGTCTCATTTTACTGGCTGGAAATTTTACTTACTGGAAAAATTCTAGTAAATCAGTGTACTTCTTATTGATTTTTGAAAGTTAAAAATAGGAGTTTAATTATGTCGCATGACTGAAGTTTTATTTCCATCAGTTATCAATCATGTGTAGATTTTTTTTTTTTACTCTAAGATTTGATCTTTCTCCTGATCGTTGAGTTTATTCTCTGGGTCTCATGTATATAAAATGGACAGTTCCAGAATTTTGTGTGTCAGAGGTCAGGAGGCATTGACCAGGCTAAAATTAAGTTAAAACTAGAGGAACTGTGAGCAATGAGCTCACTAAATGATACCCCCCCCCATTCCCGCCACCTCGTATATGTATAAAAAGGCTGCTTAGTATCCATGTTTTGCTATGGGAAACCCAAAATATGTGTCAGATCAAAATCTAAAATAGGAGGTGCACAATGACAATATGTAATAAAGATTCTTTGAAAATTTCATCAAATTTCATTCAGTGGTATGAGAGGAGTTGGGGATAAGAGATTGTTACCTCAAAGTGTAACAGACAGACGGAAGGACGGACATACTGATTACTACATACCCTCCTGCTTTTTAATTGGGGGTATAAAGACCTATTAAATGTATCATGTGTATTGATACTAGACATGTATACATATCATAATCAGATTAGGGACTGTTCAATGCAAACTTGAATTATTAGTCAATTTAGTGCTTTTATCTATATGGAAAGGTCTTTTTAGCTCACCTCGACGAAGTCGATATGAGCTTATGCTATACCCCCTGGCGTTGGCATCGGCGTTAGCGTCGGCCTCCCAGGTTAAAGATTTTGGAGCAGGTCCATTCCCAAGGAACTATAACCCCTACCTGAACCAAACTTGCATAGATGATGCATCCAGGGATGTACACTACCAGACTTGATTCAAATGCTGGTTCTGACCTACATTTTTTAGATGAGTGATCAGGTTGAAGTTTTTGGAGCAGGTCCATTCCCAAGGAACTATAACCCCTACCTGAACCAAACTTGCATGGATGATGCATCTAGGGATGTACACTACCAGATTTGCTTCAGATGCTGGATCTGACCTACATTTTCCAGATTAGTGACCAGGTTAAAGTTTTTGGAGCAGGTCCATTCCCAAGTAACTATAAGCCCTACCTGAACCAAACTTGCATGGATGATGCATCCAGGGATGGACACTACAAGACTTGCTTCAGATGCTGGATCTGACCTACATTTTCCAGATGAGTGACCAGGTCAAAGTTTTTGGAGCATGTCCATTCCCAAGGAACTATAAACCCTACCCGGACCAAACTTGCATGGATGATGCCCCTAGGGATGGACACTACCAGACCTGCTTTGGATGCTGGATCTGACCTACATTTTCTTTCTCAAGTAACTATAAGACCTACCCGAACCAAACTTGCATGGATGATGCATCTAGGGATGGACACTACCAGACTTGCTTTGGATGCTGGATCTGACCTACATTTTCATTCCCAAGTAACTATAAGCCCTACCTGAACCAAGCTTGCATGGATGATGCATCTAAGGATGGACACTACCAGACTTGTTTCGGATGCTGGATCTGACCTATATTTTCATTCCCAAGTAACTATAAGCCCTACCTGAACCAAACTTGCATGGATTATGCATCTAGGGATGGACACTACAAGTCTTGCTTCAGATGCTGGATCTGACCTTCATTTTCATTCCCAAGTAACTATAAGCCGTACCTGAACCAAGCTTGCATGGATGATGCATCTAAGGATGGACATTACCAGACTTGCTTCGGATGCTGGATCTTACCTATATTTTCATTTCCAAGTAAGTATAAGCCCTACCTTAGCCAAACTTGCATGGATGATACATCTAGGGATAGACACTATCAGACTTGCTTCGGATGCTGGATCTGACCTATATTTTCCATACAAGAGACCAGGTTAAAGTTTTGGGAACAGATCAATCCCAATGAACTTGAAGTCCTTGATATCTGCTGTATTAACAAAGTTATGAATATTTGTTTACACTAGGGCTGGGTATTGGCCGGAGATTTCGTATTGCGATATATTGCGGTATTTTGAACTGTATTGCGATATGTATTGCAATATTTTCAACGTAATAAAAATGGCATTTTTTCACTATATTTACTTTCATTTACACGCAGAATGTAAATAACCAAGATAAATAACCTACAAGGAAAAAAATCTTGTTGATTTCTTTAAGTTATGCTCTGAAATGCTCCCACAAAACAACTTCTGTCTTAATGTTTGGCTTAATAACTAACATTCACAAGTCCATTTTTATATTTAATGACAAAATTCCTTAATCTAAGCATATTGCCAATATATCGATATTACAAAATTGTATTGCGATACGATATTTTTTGTCATTGTATTGCAATATATTGAAATATCGATATTATTGCCCAGCCCTAGTTTACACTATACCTGTTTTTCACGCTACACGTGTAGAAATGTGTATATGCCATGTAAGGAGTTAAACACAACTTTCAAGAATATTGTTGTTGGGATAAATACTATATAAATATATGTATTAAGAAAATATGATGTGAGATTTGCCTTACTTACACTGATAACATTCGTAGAGGTGAGCTTCAAAATCTTTCATTACCTATGTTTTAATCATGGTATTAAATTCTGTAAGTACACTTAGGATTGTACCAAAATCTCATTTAAGTATGTCCCATGAAAATTTACACACTAAACTTGATTTACAATTATCAGCTTTAATTTCCCTGGACATGTGTTTGTTTGTATGAAAATCTTATGTTCTAGATAATGTTCTAGATATTGAGCATTTAGATCATCATGAACATTGAATCCAAACTTTTCCTTTGTCTAGTGTTTCAAAAGGAGTTCTGTAGATTTTAGGTAGTCATGTTATTTTATTTCCAGATATTTAAATACCCTTCAGACTGCTTTTAAGCCCCTCAAAACAGTTCAATGTATAATTGTAGAAATGCTTTAAATGTTGTGTGTATAGCACTTTGATGCTTTCTGAAACTTTTATATTTAGACACACGTGAATCATTTAATCACGAGCATATTCTGAGTAAATTGTTGTTAGTTTAACTTGTTCAAATGTTATATGATTACTTTTGAGTAGCATTTATTAAACATGACCCGATTACATTTGCTTGGTTGTTTGTCCACTTTGATATGATTATGCAAGATAGGTCTATGTTGCATTGAAAAATGGAAATTATTACGAAGAGGAAGAAAAAGGTTGACTTCAGAAAATTATGGAAAAAAAGAATGAAAATTTGGTTTTATAACACGTTAGAATTTTAAATGTCTTTAGGCTTTTACTTTAGGAGTGATTGACAAGTTAGAAAATCTTTTACAGAACATAATGAAGAAAATGGAGAGAACCAAGAGAGAGCTAGACAAGATGCCTGGTCGGTGTCTAGGGAAGACAAGATGGGTTGTAATCTGGACTTGGTGGGGATGTGTATCTCTGGCTTCTTCTATACAGCTGTTGGTTCTTCTCGTAAAACATCCCCATTCTCATTCACCGATGGACTGTGCTGGTAAAACTGGCCTTTATTAAAATTTCAATGTTTTATTCATAAGTATGTAAATTGGACTATATCATTCCTAAAATATCTTGTTATTTGTTTGATATTTTGTATTTTTACATTTCTTTTCTTTAAAGTTTGTTCTTGTAAATCTGATAAGAAGATTCTGATGTCTTTTATTTGATAGGCAAACAGGAACAAGTTTATCTTGTCTTGTATCCACAATGCCAAAGTGTCGTCATGAGAAGATCAGAAACTTTGTTAGTATGATGGCAGCCCAGCTTCAGATCACACAAGAGGCAGCATGTAAGAAATCTAAGGGCTGTAACTTTGAGAGAGCAATGGAAAACATGATGGCATTCCAGAATGCTGTGGATTCTCCTCTTGTCCAGATGCAGGGATCCCCCTTGGCATGCAGGTTTGTACTTCGAGACACTAACATATAGAGACAACAACTACGAAGTTCTCTGTAGATTGTGTTTATTTTGAATTTGCATGTTGAATGATTACTTGTATAATGGTTTACAACTTGTTACAAAGTAAAAAAAAAGTTATACAAATTATTTCAATTACTGTGTATGAATCAAAAATAAACTGGCTTCATTTAACAGTTTGTGTCCCCCATGTTTTCCAATTTAGATGAACAAGACTTGAACTTTCTTTCAGCATTATGGATGTGACATTAACAATGACCATGTCTGACCTGAAGGACTGCCCACAAGAGGTTTACACAATGGTCAGTGGAGGAATTCACGTAATGTACAAGGCCAGGGAGGCTGTCTGTATGAAGGGGAAGTATCCTCACATTGACATGCCCAAGGTCCCAATGCTGGATGAGGTGACCACACTCGGAGCTATTGTTAACAGTCCTTTTGCAACAAAAGAAACTGTTTGCCCGTGAGTACAGAACTATTGAGTTCAGATTTCATTTAAATAGTTATAGATCAAGATCTGTACATTCAATGTAAAGCATGCAGAAAGGAATTATTTCGTTCTATGAACATCATTCTCATATAATATCGAGTGACTTTGTGTATTTCATTATTGCAACCAAGTTAAATATGTTATTTTATGTTGAATTCATATTATGATATTAAGTTATACAGAAGCAAATAATGTAATTTCTTGTCTCTTATCTTTAGGTTATTTGAGATAGCCATGAAGAAGCTGATGACAATGAAGTCAGACGAGGTCTCGCCAGACTCGGTAATGCATCTGATGGACACCAGCATGAGGATGATGGGAGAACTGTGTGCCGACGAGAAAATGTGGGCCGATCTGATGAACCGCACCCTAATGAATGACCCCAATCGACCCTGCATGTTTACAGAATCGACCATGTGTGACCTGGATCGTGCCCAAGTCTGCGTCGCCCAGTCTCAGCTGGATATGCTGCTGGGTGATGTGGAAATGTTTGGATGGGAGCCTGTTTGTCGGTATGTTGTGTTGTGAACTATTAGTGATCTTAAAAAAATTCTTTTGTAATGTAAAAGATTTATTCAAAATTAGAGTTGAGGAATTATGACATGAATTAATTGATTCATTGCCAAAACATCTTCAAAATCTGGGAATGAGCTTAAAAAGAACGGTATTGAATTTCTGAGCCATGTCCATTTGGAATTCAAAAAATGTGTTATTGCTGATATCTTAATTAGCCTTTAAACACTGCTTGGTGTGTCATATTCTGTTGAAAGAATTTCATTCTATTATTTATACAGTGGCATTGAGAAGATGACAAGATGTGTGCAGTACATGACAAATGGATGCAAGAATTCCTCTGAAGTGACCATAGAGAGAATCAGTCCCAAAGTGAGGGAGATTTTCTCCACTGCTGCCGATCACTGCCCAGTCAAAACCTTACTGGAGATGAGAGGGGCATGCTACCCCAGGAAATGTAACATTCAACAGGCTCTCAGCTGCTTCAGCATTCCAACTGAGAGTGACATCGCCTCTGGCCAGACTTGCAGGTATGTCAGCTAAAATGGTAGTGGTGGTGGGGGGGGTATAAGGGAATGAGATATATTAAAGAATTACAGATGTACATCACTCTATAGATGAATGGTTATACATACAGGTGACTCTCGATGGCTCGAACTCCGATCTCTCGAAGTTCTCGATCTCTTGAAGTGAACCTCTGGTCCCGTTTTTTTCCTCTATATAACTAAGCAAAATTACTCCTGATCTCTCGAACTTTTATCTCTCGAAGTTCTCTGTGCCTTTAGGGTACACATATTTCATTGAATTTTACTCCCTATCTCTCGAAGTTTTGATTGCATGTGTATGTACAAGCCAATGAAGCGTAAAATTGATGCAGCCTGAACTTACCTGGAAAACACTGAACGGCTGGGGCTTGGTTTGAGGTGTTAATTGGGTGTTTACATAGATGACACTTCACTAGTTGGTAGTCCATGTGTTGATATAATTAATTAATTATTGTTGGTATATTATAAAATGTTTTTAAATTCACAACTTATTTTGACTTGAAAACGAGATGATTTTTAGAAAATAATTTATAGTCGAATCTATAAGTTCCCATAGGCTATGAACTTTTATTAGAGTCTACATAATCCCAGTATGGCAAATATTGCACAAGAAATTCCTTTCTCAAGGACTAAATACCGATTCAGAAAAATCTTTTGAACAGCTGCAGTCTGTAGGTGAAGGACCCTATCAAGCCGCGGAATAGTCAAACCGACAATTGCTATTCGGATTTCATGTAATCATTAAATAAGAACAAATAAGTATTGAAACTTTAGGAATTCGTTTTATTTAGTCGAAATACGATCATTGTTGTTGACATCAAGTAAATATTACCTGTAAAATATGATAGAAAACGTGCAATGACTTTATTTACATATCTTTCCGGTATCTATAAAAATATAACTTCGATGATCGGAACTGAAAATTCCGGATTTTATTTACTTTCTATCTCTCGAACTTTTCTTGCGGTCCCTTGAACTTCGAGAGATCGAGAGTCACCTGTATATCAAATTCAGAAATCAGTAAAAAATAAATTTTTGTAAAGTCCTTGTATTTTGTGCCTTTAGGGTAATTCTTTTTTAATTGTATGTGACTGTATATATTTTTAATTGAAAATGAAAGGTAAATGCTAGAGTTTTGATAAGAATGGTCTATATGTCCAGATGACCAATTAATATGCAATTCAGGATTTTATTGATAACTTCTGAACTTGAAATAAATTCATTTCAGTTTCATCAACAAGACACTTAGCTGTGTAACAGGAAACATCAATGGATGTGGAATGTTGGAATCTGCCCAGCCTGTGGCTTATGCATTAAAGAGATACCTGGACTGGCTCAAGCCTTACTGCATGGACGTTGTGGCCGACCGGATGCTACAGGCTCTCCCAGAGTGCAGCGTCAAATACCTGGACGGATTCAACTTTGTTCTGACCCACTCCACCAATTTTACACAGGATTTCTGTGGCTTCCACATGCACATGGCTGATCAGTGTGATGAGATGGATGATTTACCTGCCTTTTCTACATACAGCAAAGCCAAGCTCTACTCTAGGGCTGCCATGATTTCATGGATGTGTCAGAAAAGTAGGTGTTAACTTCTGAAATGTGCATATCTTTTAAAATAAGGAATTTCCTGATAAAGGGAAGTAGTTGTTAAAGACATAAAACAGATCATCAACACATGAAAATGCAGCAGAAGAATTAATTTTGTTGACTTGTTTTGACTAGAGGTTCTGATGCTGCATTGTTGTGAAGTGTTGGTCATCTGTTTTACGTTTTCAAGTTTACAACTTTAGAGACAGACCCTATTGAATAATGTTTTAGATATCCACACATAAACGTGTACTTTCGACCTAAAGGTGTTGGTCTTACGTTTTTCTTTGGTTTCATACTCTTAATTCATCAAATGCTGAATATACAGAAAAGATATTAATAGATAAAAATGAACAAGAGTTGTTCTGAAAATAATTTGAAAGTAAAATTCTCTGTCTTGTAGATGGTTTTGGTAAAGTACTGAATGAGACTAGGATAAAAACAAGAATGGAGGAGCTATACATGGAATCCAAAAGTGTGCCAGGTAAACAAAATTCTCCTGTAGAAATCTTCATTTTATCTGAATGTTAACCTAACTATAGAATCTATTGTTAATGTGCTCAATATTTCAGAAATGGAGATGATGAATTATGAAATGGCTGGGTCATGTTTGACTGTTTACATGCTGCGGCTTTTAGAGTTTTTCTCTTTACCTATTCCCCAAAGGGAAGTTCTCTGCAGGTACAATTTTATTTTTGTTAATGATGTAAAACAAAAAATATACAGGTAAATGTAAAGAAGTTGGATTAAGTAATTTGTCAATTTTGTTAAAAACAAAGAAACAAAACCAAAAAAATGAACAAGCAACCAAAAAAATATTATAATAAAACCCAAGCAAACCAAAATGCAGAAGCAAATATTTAATTATCAAAGTATTTTTTTGTAGATCTGTTGAACATACTAAAAAGTGTGTGCATGACCACTTTGCCAATGCGACAGAAGCCAGGAAACGGACAGCTATGGACGCAATGAAGGTAGTGATGATGCTTCACCAGCAGGTCTGTCCCATGGAGATGATGGAGAGGCCAAAGACAAACAACAATACCTGTAATGTCAACGCCAGTGTCTGGTGTCTGGGTATGATGGGAAAATATCTGTCCTCGGCTTCAGCCTTCCACACAGAAACTCACTGTGGGTAAGTTATCAAATGTATGGCAAGTCATTAACCCTAACAAAAGTATTACCAGTGGAAAATATACTGCAATATTTTAACATCCCCCCCCCCCCCCTCCATTTGATGATTTACTTTATGACTAGAATTTTACAAGTATTTTAGTAACTGTAAACCAACTTTTATTTGTGTATGAGAATTATTTGCGAGAATCGTGATCTACTTTAAGTTGCGCGTATTAATCGCCGCTACCCATTTATTTATTTTTGCTTTGTTTTTGTAGAAAATGTTTCCTTATTCGTGAAAATTAATCGTCGCGGATTGATTTCAAACTGAAGAATTGCAAATAAAAGATGACGCGAATAATAGTTGGTTTACTGTATTTCAAATGCAATTATTACTCTTCAGATTTTTTTTCCCTCCCCCTCTCAAAGATAACACAAGTGCAGTGCAGTAATGCTTAATAAATAAATTGTATATTACAGTGCCATAAGCATGGGTATGCATTGTGTTTACAACAACACTATGAACTGTTCAGCATCTGAGAAGGCGCTAGTAAAAGAAGCCATGGAACCTATTCTTAGCCTAGCAGGATCAGCATGTGAAGTAAACACTGAAGAAGCATGTAATGTAACCAAGGCTTTGATTGGTCGATTTATACCAGAGACATGTGATCAGACAGCCATACAAAATTGCTGGGATTGGTACAACAATGCAAAGGATTACTACATTTCAACCAATAACACAAAAGCTCTCTGCAGGTATTTCAAAAAACATCAAGAAACTATAATAGAGAATAAGAGAATTTGGGATTCTATGAAAAATTTGTGTGTGCGTGTCAGGGTTGCAACAAGCTAAGCAGTATTTCAATTTTATGGAAAAGAATGTGTTTCCTTATCATTTAGCATGGGACAGCAGGCAGTAATGTGTGCTCAAGCCAGTTCTAGAAGTTGTGATGAACCAACCACAAAAAGACTTGTAACAGATCCTATCCAAACCCTCAAAACCGCATTACAAACGACATGCAGGGCCATGTTTTCTGAGATGGAGACAAGAGCTCGGGACAACAGCACAAAGACATGTGAGATAAAGCCAGCAATGGTGCCATGTGTCGGGGATGTAGAAATGTGTTTTAGCAGTTCGGATCCAGCAGAAATTTGCAGGTACTTATAGATTTTGATTGAGGGGATGGCACAAATTTAATATCAAATTAAGATTCTTTATTTACTAAATTTGAAAAGAAATCTCTCATTTGATTACAATATGAATCATATTTTAGGATCATAATTACATAGCCTGCATGTTTTTTGGTGCATTTTGATGTTTCAGATACATGATGGTAATCTTTAAACAAATTCTTGCTTACATCAGTAGAATGCCAGTGTTCTTCCAAAACAAAGTGCTACAATTGTATTTACATACCTTGTAGGAACCAGGACTCCATCAGGGCCTGCATTACTCTTATGATGAAGGGCTGTGACAAATACATGGTGTATTCCTACTCCTCCTCCATCAAAATGAATCAGGACAGCTTGGAGGAAGCCATTAAAGGACCTTGTAACCTGGTCCCTGATAACCTTCCCACAATGCCGAGCAACTTCTCCCAAGACATGAAATGCATAGCAGGCAATGCCGTGTTTGAAAAGTATTTGTTCGACAATTCTGCCACAGAGGGAAATCTTTGTGAGATTTTCACAAACATGTCAGAGTGTATTTTGGCCAATGTCTCAGCTGTTTCTCTACCTTGGAGGAATGCCTTGGAGTCCATCAGTCATACTGTTAAGAAGCAAGTGCATTTCAGGTGCTCTATTGTAGGTAAGGAAGATTAAGTGTCAGTTACTCTTTATTTGTGAGATTTTTTTTTTCATGGAATAAACAATCTTCTCGTAAAATTTTCATTCTCAGGTATATTAATCTTAAGTGAAAAAAAGTTTTTCAAAAATAATTTTGTTGAATTTGAGATCTTTAGACAAAGTTATTTGGTATGTTTTGCAACAATTTTAATTATATGGACACTATAAAATAGTTGCAAAAGTATGTTTTTTAATTTCAAATAAAAATATTAAATTTTTGTTCACTTTCTTTTCAGATAACATGAACATGGTATATAAAGATGATGAAAGGAATTCAACAGATTTTGAAATGCCACAAAGTATGTGTTTTAATTTAAGAAATACATATCAGGTGTTCAACTGTTTTATTAAAAACCAAGGACACAAATTTTGTTTTTCCTGTGCTACAATTAATATGCTTTGGGAGAAAACCAAAATGCTTAAAGTACCTTGAGCATGGAAATATACATGTACATAAGCAGTGAAGATAAAAAATCAAAATGAATGTATTTCTCTTGAATTATTGTAACGTATTGAAATAATCAAATGTGGATTTCATTCTTGTAGATTCTACTTGTGATCCCTTCACTGCCTCGATGTGTATGTACAATTACGCTGCCTCTAACCTTTTCCCGGCATTTTATCCCATCAGAGAAAGAGAACTAACATGCAGGTAGATGTACATTTTTTTTTCTGAATCCTTCATAGGGATCTGCATGTATTTATGTTATATGTAAATTGAAGGAATGGTAGAAGTAGAAAGAATACCTATTTTATTTCGTTCGTTATACTTACCAGTCATAAATATACATTAGGATATCTTCCCCTTATTAACGTTCATAACTCGCGGGCAAGCGTTTAAAAGAATAAGATTCAAACACTTATAAGACCGAGATCACATCTCAGGTGCTTGCCCAAATCAGTTCATCTTCCGGCGTGCAACAGAACGTTCATATTTTTTTGGCAGAGATTTCTCAGCCACGGAGTGATACAAATACTTTGTATTTGTATAAGGTATTGGTATAGATACTCTCTTATGCTCTTAGTTTAAGTATGGAAGAAGCCAGTTTTATTTCGAACGACGAATTAAATTCGGGCTCGGAATTCCAGAATTTACAGTCAGTAATGGAGGCCAAAGGAAAAAAACCGCGGTCCGGTAGGAAATCCTCCAGCAAAGCTAACGAGAAAATGGAACAATTAGAAAACAGAGTCAACGAAAGGTTAGACACTATGATGAATTTTTTAAGAGAAAGTATTCAAACTTTGTCCAGCAGTGTTTTAGAGAATACAGCTTCTCATAATGTACACGAGACAAACGTGTCTCATAATTCGTTAGCGGATCAGGATACCGGTGGTTTATCCACGCGGAGACCTGAGCCCATGGTATCAAATGTAGACGATTCATCTGGAATGCGTCGGATTATACCTTTGGAAAGTGAAGTCCAAATTGAAGGGACATTAAGTGTGCCTGAAATGGACGATATGATATCATTAGCTCCAAGTGTCAGAGAAGTACGTGAGCTATTGGGTGATAACGAATCCTCAGTTCAAGAGGAATCTATTACTGCCCATGATTTTGATAACAATCAACATAAGTTGGACAGCAACAACAACAATAGATTTCAGAACTTGATCAATAAAAGTGACGAGCATACAAAAACTCTAACTGATATTTTTGGCAATGTTTCGTCTTCAGAGGAAGAAAAAACTGGATTAGTTTTAGACAAAACACAAGAGGAGATCTTGAAAAAGTCATGGAGAATTACTGATCCTGAACGCTTGTCTGCTTATAGAGATGAATATAGACAATGTTTCCCTGTTCATCCAAACTCGGCAGCATTTCTACAAGTTCCAGGGCTAGATGACATTTTAGAACCAATGTTAAGAAAAAAACACGGAAATAAAACCAAAGGTTGGGGGAAAAGTAAACATTTAATTTCCCAGCCGTACAAAAGTATTGAAACTTTGGCATATCAGGGACAGATAGCTGCCCGTATGGGTATTATTTCATTAAGCTACATGCAGCAAGCTTTAGGAACGTTGTTAGATTCTATAACTTGTCAAGATGCGGACACAGTTCAAGCAATTAAAGACATTTTCTCCATGTCTACCAAGGCACTAGATCAAATGGGGAGAGCAGGGGCTTTTCACCATCTTATAAGAAGGAAAACTGCAGCACAAGACTCTGGATTATATACCTTGAAGGATATTCATAGCAAAATTATTTGCCTGCCTCTTTCAGAAGATGGCGTCTTTGGCAAGAAATTAGAAGAGAAACTAAAAGAAAGGAAAGAGCAGAAAGATTCTCTTAAGGATTTAATTCCAGAATGGAATGAAAAAAATCAGAAACGCAAATTTTCAGAAAATTCTGCTGAAAACTCTGGAAATTTTAAAAAACCCAGAACTACTACTGTGTTGAATAACAGTTACAGAACAGCTACTCAGAGACCCAATTACTCAAGACGGTCTTATGACTACAAACCAAGAGAGGACAATTCGAGAAATACGTCTACATCTGCTACAGTAGACAGAATTGGCTCCTTTCGGATCCCAAAGAAATCTAATAAATGACTGGAGATTAGAACAGGTAACCAAAATTGCAATGCTTCCCGAGATACCAGTTGGGGGTCGTCTCAAACTTTTTGTAGAAAACTGGAATCTTGTAACTCAAGACAGTTGGGTATTATCAATAATCAACGAGGGTTACAAACTAGAATTTCTTCAAAAACCCCAGTTTTTAGGGGTAAAGAAAACAACAATCCCTCAAATACAAAAACATTGTTTGTTAAAAGAGGTAGAAGATTTATTAGAAAAAAATGCAATAGAACCTGTCTCAAATCAGGAGAGTCAAACAGGTTTTTACAGTACATTTTTCCTTGTCCCCAAAAAGGGTGGCAAAATGAGACCCATCATAAATTTGAGACCCCTCAACCAGTATCTCAAGAAGCAACATTTCAAAATGGACACTTTAAACAAAGTGTTAAATCTAGTGAAACCAAACGATTGGGCAATTTCAATCGATTTAACAGATGCATATCTACACATTCCAATATTTTCAAAACATCGAAAATTTCTAAGATTTTGTGTAGAAAACCAGTGTTATCAATGGAAAACAATGTGTTTCGGCCCAACATCAGCACCTCGAGTTTTCACCAAAATGGTGTCTGTAGTAGCAGCATATTTGAGAACACACAATATTCGTCTAGTAGTTTACCTAGACGATTGGTTAATAGTAAACCAATCAAGAGAAATGTTATATCAAGATCGACAGAAGTGCCTAAATCTATTGGTTTCACTAGGTTTCATAATAAACAAAGAGAAGTCTTGTCTAGAACCCACTCAGGAAATTGTATACCTGGGAGCTTTGTTTTTATTCAGACAAAAAATAGTACTTCCATCTCAAGACAGATTGATAAAATTGGTACAATCAACCAAAATGTTAATGCAGGGTCAGAAAACAGCCAAAGATTTTCTACAATGGTTGGGAATAGTAGCCTCATGCATAGATCTTATTCCAAATGCTCGTCTTTACATGAGACCTGCTCAGTTACATCTACTAAGTTTTTGGAAACCAAGCTCTCTAGATTTGGAGAAAATAGTCCCTATTACACCACATCTAATACAACACCTACAATGGTGGTTATATTCAGTGAACATTTCCAGGGGCAGATCTTTGCAACTGGAAGAAATTGGGGTGACCATAACCACAGATGCATCCTTGACAGGGTGGGGGGGGTCACCTAAACAATCAAATAGTTCAAGGACATTGGGACAGTTGTCACAAAGGTCTTCATATCAATTGTCTAGAGATGGAAGCAGTGTTTTTAACTCTGAAACATTTTCAAAAACAAGTACAAAACAGAACAGTTTTGATCAGATGCGACAATACGACAGTGGTTCAATACATCAACAAACAGGGAGGAACCAAATCTCCACGTCTTTGTTATCAGACATGGGATTTGTGGAACTGGGCAATAGGTCACAATATCAAGTTGAAAGCTGCTCACATAGCAGGAAAATCAAATATTCTGGCAGACCATTTGAGCAGGGTCAAGATCAGACAAACAGAATGGATGTTGAACAGACAAATTGTTCAGAGAATTTTTCTATTATGGGGTCAACCTCTGATAGACATGTTTGCATCTATTCA